GGGATTAGGGAAGGGTAGAAATCATGCAAGATTTAACAGAGAGCTCAGCAGAGGTACGGCAAGCTACTCACGCGACGATTTACAAAGTTATTGTCCTTTAAAAAATAAAAGAATATACGTGGAGGCGGAAGGACGCAACCTTGTGTGATTTGTACCCAAAAGAGGAGAAGAAAGGAAGAAGTGTTACAGAAGGCCACCGCAAAGGGCTGCGACTCAAGTCGGGGTTTGGTATTCCAGTGGCAAGTTGTGATCGCGACGTTTGGGGGGAAGGACGACGCAGGCCCCATGGGGAACCCAACTGCCGGGGGGGGGGGCTTACTGTCGGTTTAGAGGGGGGGGAACCCGGGCAGCTGAAATCAACAGAAGGGTCTTTCTTTTATTGCTGATCAATCGAAGGGCTACCAAAGGGGTATCCGAAGAGGTTAGCGACGGAGCGGTGAATGAGGACATTGTGTGTGTATTTACACGGCGGTGATGATCTAGCGGATGGGCAGGTGGGTACGAGCCAGGGGCCGTCTTGGCATCCCAAAACACAACAGCAAAGAGAATCCAGGGGGTGTAGGGAGACGTGGACTCGAGGGCGCAAGGAAACGGGCTGGAGCTCTTCGTGCTATTTAATAAAGGTAAAGGTAAAGGTTTCCCCCTTGCTCGAAAGCCAGTCGAATCTGACTCTAGGGTTGCGGTGCTCATCTCCATTTCCAAGCCGAAGAGCCAGCGCTGTCCGGAGACGTTTCCGTGGTCATGTGGCCGGCATGACTAAACGCCGAGGCGCACAGAACGCTGTTCCCTTCCCACCGAAGTGGTCCCTATTTATCTACTTGCAATTTCTTGCTTTCGAACTGCTAGGTTGGCAGGAGCTGGGGCCAGAGACGGGAGCTCACTCCGTCATGCGGTCTCGAACTGCTGAACTACCGACCTTCCACAGCCTGCAGTTCAGCGCCTTGCTGCGATATTCCACTTTCAGTCCACTTTCCAACTGGGTTTTGTCCGTTCACACACGTCGTTTTCCCCTATCGCTTCAGGGTCCGGTTCCCCCCCCCCCAATGTAGAATCCAGTTGGAAAAATGCATTGAAAGTGGATTGTTTCGTGTGTGTGATCACAACAAGCGATATCTGTGCCTATCTACCTTCCCCCGAGATCCCACCCTTTTGCCAGAAGACAAGATAACGCCCTCTGTACTCATCTGCCACCAAATGCATGTCAACATGTCCCTCCTCTCTCGCCCCGATAGAGACTTTGCGCCTTGAACAAGGGCAAGACAGGCCGGAATTCAACAGGTGTGGCCTTCTCTCCCATCACCCCGTACCACAAATGGGTCTACCTGTTGGGTTCCCAGCAGAGAATCGGCACGATCCTAGTCATCTCCTCGGCCCTAGGATCGGGTTTCAGGTTTGCTTCTCCCGGGCGCCAAATGTTGATTTCACAGGCAGGGTGAGGAACGGAACGGAAGCACACGCAAAACGGTGAGCGATAAAGCCGTGTGTTTGTGGACATACGGTGTCCGCCCTTCACCCTTCTCCCAGGTTGAGAGAAGGTGCCCAGAGCCCTAGTTCAGGCCTGAAATGAAGTTAGGCACACCTGTGTTCTGAATTCTGGAAGCCTTCCAAATTCGTACCCCGAATCTCTAAAGATTTGAAGTGTACGTTTTCATAAATCAATCCAGATTGATTGCGGCGGAGTCCGCTGCTCCCTCAAACCTACAATTCGCACTTCAGATTGGCAGTTTTTTACAATTTGAGCTCATTCCGGCCTGCATCAGTTCACGCCTCTTCCAGTCTCCTACCACCAACGCCGTGGCTCTCCCGGGGAACCCAGGAGTCCGACTTCACCCACCCGGTCAGCCCCAGGGCTATAAGGCCTAGAGAAAGCTTTCCGCCAATCCAGGCCAAGATCATAACCAGTGAGCAAACGGGGCACGTTTGCAATGACCACCAAAGTGCATTTTTGCCCCCAACACTTCACAACTGATAAAAGCAGGGATGCAACAAAAGCCGGATACTATCATATCACTCCCCTCACACCCCCTTTTTTTAGTAAAGTGACTTCTGGAAATATAGATTTGATATATACACAGAGAGAGACACACACTGCACACCGTCAAAGATGGGTGAACTGGATGGTTCGCTCCTCTTCGTACGATCACTCCGCACACGCCTAGTGCTCAGTGCAGCTGCTCGGACCTGCGGCATTCTGAGTCGCAGACGGTGCCCTCCTCGCACCTGCACCCACGGATCATTTAGAAAAAGAAAAGGCGAAGAGAGGCGCTCATTTGATCCGCGACTCAGAGACGGGCGGCGGCGTGCAGAGAGTCTCCTTCGCACGGCGGATTTACTCCTCCTCCTGTTCGTTCCGCAAAGGGCCCCCGGAATCCAGAGACCGCTTTGCTTATGCCTCTGAACCCCTGCCCAGAACAGATTTTTTGCAGGGGGGGCGGTGGGTAAAATAAGGACAGGACGGCCTCGGTAGACAACAGAGCCTGGATAACGTGAATCTCATCTTCAGCAACAGCAGAACAAAATTGGAGTCGACCAACAAAGTTTTATTCCTGGCGTAAGCATTCGGGGGCATGCTTGTGCCAGGACTAAAACTCCGCTGGTCTTCAAGGTGCCCCTGGACCCCAGTTTTCTCCTGTTGCTTCAGACCGACACGGCTGCCCCGCCTGAATCTTCAGCAACAGGGCTAGATCCAAGGCCCACTTACTTGGGAGTAAATCCCCCCCCAAGCTCAATAGGACTTTCTTCCAAGTACACGTTCCGTGCGCCTTGGTGTTTAGTCATGCCGGCCACATGACCACGGAAACGTCTTCGGACAGCGCTGGCTCTTCGGCTTTGAAACGGAGACGAGCACCGCCACCCTAGAGTCGGATTCGACTGGCTTTCGAGCAAGGGAACCTTTACCTTTACCTTTTACACACGCCCAGCACAGGACAGTCAACCAAAAGAGCTTTGTACGCATGAATCGTTGGCAGCAATAGTGAAGGACTGGGGGTAAAGAAAGGCAGAGAGTTGTCTCCAAGCCACAGCTATTAGGGCCGGCACCCCTTTAAAGAAATCCTCATCAATTAAATCACATGGGTTTCGGGAGGTTAAGCGGTTGGTTTGTGCATTAAACCTACGTGTGCACACAGCCAACGGTTCAGAAGGGGGTATGCAAAAGCCAGAATCGGGCTACTCGTAAAATAAATCAGTCTTAAACCAGGGCTTAAAGGTAAAGGTAAAGGTTCCCTTGCTCGAAAGCCAGTCGAGTCCGACTCTAGGGTTGCGGTGCTCATCTCCATTTCCAAGCCGAAGAGCCAGCGCTGTCCGAAGATGTCTCCGTGGTCCTGTGGCCGGCATGACTAAACGCCGAGGCGCACGGAACGCTGTTCCCTTCCCACCGAAGTGGTCCCTATTTATCTACTTGCAATTTCTTGCTTTCGAACTGCTAGGTTGGCAGGAGCTGGAACTAGAGACGGGAGCTCACTCCATCACGCGGCACACTCGGGTCTCGAACTGCTCAACTGCCGACCTTCCACAGCCTGCAGTTCAGCGTCTTAACCACTTGAGCCACCACAGCTCCTAAACCAGGGCTTACTCCCAATGAAATCTGCAGGATTTCAACCTATTCAGAAGTGCCGGGACTGTCACTGCCTTCCTCCTTGCCCAACGGCCTCCCCTGAGTGGCACAACGCAGACCTAAAGAGGAACGGCACACAAGGAGACCTCAGAGGTCCTCAACCTGCGCCTGCATCGAATCCCTTCTCCCTGTGCTGCTGCTGAGGGGGGGGGGAGACGAGCACTTCTTTACACGGAGAGCGATTAAAATGTGGAATTGGCTGCCCGAGGATGTCGTGATGGCCACAGGAATGAACAGCCTGAAAAGGCGCTTATACAGACTCATGGAGGAGAAGTCTACCTATGGCGACTAGCCATGGTGACTGAGGGGAACCGCCACATTCGGAGGCACTAATCCTCTGAACCCCCAGAGACAGGAGGCAACATCAGGGGAAGGCCTCGGCCTCTGTGCCCTGTTGTTGCCCCTCCAGAGGAACTGGTTGGCCACAGTGTGAGGCAGGATGCTGGACTAGATGGCCCCTCACTGGTCTGATCTAGCAGGGCTCTTCTGAGGTTCTTATGAAGGCCTCGGCCTCTGTGCCCTGTTGTTGCCCCTCCAGAGGAACTGGTTGGCCACAGTGTGAGGCAGGATGCTGGACTAGATGGCCCCTCACTGGTCTGATCTAGCAGGGCTCTTCTGAGGTTCTTATGAACGCCTCGGCCTTTGTGCCTGTTGTTACCCGTCCAGAGGAACTGGCTGGCCCCTGTGTGGAACAGAATGCTGGACTAGATGGACCCTCACTGGTCTGATCCAGCAGGGCTCTTCAGATGTTCTTATG